TTTTTTTTTTTTTTTTTTTTTTTTTTTTTTTTTTTTTGCGAGCCAAAATGGCTGAAAAGTGGAAATCCTCCCTACATTTATCACTTTTCTGATCAGCAATTTCTCTTTATCGCCATGTTGAGAATGTTTTGATCGAGATGAAACGGAGACTCTGCACGTTCCAGTGACATCTTGTAACTGCTAAAGTCTTGCCAAATGCTTCTTCTCAAGAACACTGGAGTGACAGATACTTCGGAAAAAGAAACGAAGGCTAAGATCGCCAGCAGTAAGCTGACTACTGGAAGATACAGCCTAGCAATGGTCAAAGGAACTGGAGAAGTCGCCAGCTTCTTAGGTGGGAAAACAGATTGTTTTGCAATTGATCACAACACAAAAGCAGTTAAAATCACCGCGAGAATGAATATTTTGGAAGTGGCCTAAAATACGATGAACAATTTTACAAAGAATTCAGGGTACTTCATTTTCTGCGTATACGCACTTTACTGCGCATATCTATCTATTTATATGTGTATATATGCGTGCGATTGTTTGAGCTTGTATGTTTGTATGCTTATTTGTGTGTGTATGTGTGTGTGCGTGTGCGTGTTTTTGTGCGTCTGTGTGTGAAAGTGTGTGTATGTGTGTGTGCGTGTTTTTATGCATTTGTGTATGTGAAAGTGTGTGTATGTGTTTCTGTGTGTGCCTGAGCATGAGTGTGAAGATGTGTGGGTTAATGTGCATGCAGCAATATGTGATTACTTCACGCAACGTAGGCGTTTTCATTATGCGTTTCGCATGATTAGTGCTAAAAGATTTCTCTAACAATTGCAACAATTAAACTTACCCTTGTACAACAAAATTTCCCGACCCCTCTCCCTCCGCCTTCTTACCGAATGCAGAATTTTTGTCAGTTTAGGACAGTTTCAATTTTTACTACTGTCTTACGCGATTGCCTTTGATATTTTGATTAGCTGCAGTTCATGGCGTGACTAGACAACTCTGCAGCTGAAAGCTTTCCGAGTTGCTTTAACCAATTCTGCATCCGCTGGTGACCAGCCGGCTGGCAGACCTGTCGTTCGCTTCATTTCCCAGAAGAATTACTAGGCAATGGTTATTTCAGTTAAGTACCTGACAAAGATTTAGTGGTCTTAGAAATCACCAGAGTCTCGAACGTTTCCGTTCCTGCTCTTGGCGAGGTGTCCGGTAAATGAGGACTTTCATTTCTTCTGACAAATTTTGATTTTTAATCATCAGGTAATTTAGGCTTTTCTGTCTACCGCAGCCATGCAATTCGCTTTAATGAGAAGGCTAAATTTCCCATATTCTATGAATCATTTTTCAATAAAAAATGAGAGATTTAATTTACATTAACTCATAACCTTAAGAGAGGTATATTAGCCCATTAAGTCGCATTCATTTTGCTTCAGCACCTCAGTTGTTGATAAAGCAAGCAATTTGATTAGCCCAGCAAATTTTATTTTTATTTGTCGATTGGCTTTTTTATTTGCTAACTGATATGATAAATAGACTGGTCGCTCAGCCGTTGTGGAGATCCAGTTTTGTCATTATGATGCATTTGGACTGTTACTGTTCCTTTAATAACTGACATTTTGAATCCAAAAAAAGACATCCTAACAAATAAAATAAAAGCTAAGCTATGTGGGGATAAATAAGCTGCTAGCTGCATCAACAGCGAAGAGAAAGGCAACAACGAAACACCACCTGAGCAAACTGTTAAGGTAAGTATTACATGGAAAACGAGTAAATCCACTACTAAAACAATGATTTCCAACACACACTTCCATGGCATATCCATTCCAAGTGTACGGATTGTTTCCAGTAACATCAAATCTCCTTACCAACTGTTCAACTAATCATGGTATCATGATTCTCGAAAAGAAGCAAATGTCTACGAATCACTGAATAAAGTTTCTAAGCGACAATGGACTTCGAAACGTTCTTGTTCTACGTTTACGTCGTTGTCGGCGCACTGGTATTTGTGTCCAATGGCTATTTTGCGCATATTCTGATTCGGCATCAAACGTTGCTGCAGCGCTATGGTATCATCATTGTACAGGTTGTAAATTTTGGTTTAACCCAGCTACAGTGTTCATAAATAATCTTTAATGAAAGGCGGAGGCGCTCGGTAGCAAGTGCCAATCAGCAGCAGCCGGCTGACAAGGTTGTCGATGGTTTCCTCTTTCGATGTGATTGGTCAGAAGCAAACTGATGGTGGTCTGATCCTGGCATGCGCCACTATCAGCTTGCTATCAGAGTGGCTGAACGAATCGCAGATGAATTGGTTGTCCCAGTGACGGAGTCGTACCCTTCTTCTGCTCTACAGCAGAAGTGCTATTTTCCACTGAGCCAACCTGCCGGTTTTGGAAAAATATTAAGATATATCTCCGTGAATTCAAATTTTTTGCAGATGATTGGAAATGCTGCCACTGGTGCTGCGTTAGTGTTAGCAGGAGTTGCGCGACTTATTATGATACATGCTGGTTTTGAGACGCTCACCAGTAAACGAATGTGCATGCTCACTCCATGGAACTTACTTTTTATTTGGTACAACTTTTTTTTTCAATGGTCACTGACAAAAGCAAGTGTTTTGTGAAGTGAACAGCATGCAGCAATCGTAGGAGATTTACCAAATCATTTTTCGTTATTATGACCCTCTTCTCTTATTCAACGTTAGAGATGAAAACGGATTACCGCAATGAAAATCTTCACATTATGAAATCACACAGCAAAAAAATAGTCTAAGCTAAGCAAACACATCTTTCTTGCAAAAACCAGTGAAACAGCGGCTGGTCGAGGCCATAGTTCGGATCAGTTTGTTAATCAAAATGATGTTTCAGGGCAGAACCATTGCAAGCCATTTCGTTGTTAATGGTCAGCACTGATCGCTTTCTTGCTGTACATACCCCAATATTATATTTTAAAAAAACTAGCGCTGTCGCAGTTTCTCAGGTTCAACCTTTTCACTAATAAACTACTTGCTCAGCCGTTTTTGCATCATTAATGAAATGCAAAAAAATAAAAAAAGACATATATTGGATAGTCTTTGCAAATGCTTAAGCTGGGGAATCGAAATTTTTAGAATGATGTTTCCGATCTATGTGTAATCTCTTGTAGATCCATGTCTCATGTATTGGTACTCGAAAGAGTAACTGGAAAAGTTTTGGCGGAAACGAAAACACTTCACTGATACGTTTTTTTTCGATCTTGTTTCGATTACGGGGCATCCTAGTGTCTGAAAAGGTTTTCGCAACAGCTGCTGTGGTCTTCTGGCTAGCAGTACAATAGTGGTTTTAGTGCTTACTTGTTTACCTTCTTTTTTTCACCGTCCTTGTGGTTACTCTCCGCAGTCCTTTTTGTGCTTCGCACTTCCAACTAGTAAGTTCAGTTCATGTACCAGTAATAATGAGGTCATGCCGGCACCCAGTCTCCATATTTTGTGCTAGTGATGCTACTACCAAGCTTCCAAGCGCCGCGAGCGGCTATACCAGGCCTATCGATTCATGCTTGAACACTTCCGGTGAGTGCCCGCCGTCTCGCGGATTGAGCTCCCTTCACAAATGATTGTGAAGCTGGAGGAAAACAAATATCTTTGCATTTCGGCGCAACGTGCTAGCACACAGCACACCTCACCGGTCTTTGTGTTTCACGAACCTGCTAGGGCACCTAAAATCTACATGCATGGTGCCTCATATTTGGCTGCTACACCTTGTGCAGCACACATTTTAACAACTGCCGGCTTTTCGCAGAACTTCCGCGATACATTGCTTATTCGATGTATACGCTACACGAGCGGCTGCCTATTCGTTATTCGTTTATTTACGAATTGGTAAAATCTTTTTTTACGGGCCGGATATGAAGGCGACTGAAATTTTCTATCCGAAACAAGCATAAGTAAGGCAGAGCTGACCTCAAATCACAAAGGCATCTCGTCTGACTGATGCTGATAAACTTGCTCATGGTCCTTAATTGAAATAATGTAATAGTAAGGACTGACTCTTTTCCCGCTGAAGATACAAATTCTAAGTTTCTTGCATGACGCTAAATGAATGGCTTTTTCTAAAAGATTGAAGCTTTCGGAAAAATATGGTTAAATGAGACTTTCTAGTGAATGCGGTTTATTAAAAACAGTTTTTTTGTTAGTACCGAAAGCACAGCTATAGAAGAGAAGGGTGGTTTAACATCAGTCGGAACAGTGAGAACAAGGAGGCTGAGGACAAGAGAAAACCACGAGGGCGAGGAAGAACAAGAGCGTTTTTTTTTAGGAAAGCTCGCGAAAAGTCGTTTCTATCCCAAAAATTTTTGGAATCAGTACAAATCGGAGAAATATCCTGGGATCGAAGGGCTTGGCATAACTGCTAAGCGCGGCGCACCCCAGTAATATCATTAATACGGAATTGCTCACAGCGGCTGCTCGGATGGTCGTGATAGTTTTGATATTTTTTGCGCTTGGAGCATCAGTTCTGAAGCCATCAACCATGGTTTGAAAAAGGATATTTTTGAACTGAAGGGGCTAACAACGACCTCGCTAGAGAGTCGTTGCTTTCAGTGATTTGCTATTGCATAGACTATTTCCGAGCGCATCCACCTCTCGTAGAAAGCACTATGTGAAGGGTCTTCTGACTTGATAAAACAAAAATAAATGAGCTGCTTGCCAAAATCTTCCACCTAATGAATATTTGTTAAAAAGCAGGAATTTGAGCTTTATTTTGTTAGGTAATATATCAGTAATACTAAGACTACTCGAAATATTAATGTAGATTTCCTTTGATAATGATGTCAGCGAGATGCACTCACACGCTGGTTGCAACTTGCCAGATCCTTCGATTCTGAGCTCAGATTTTGTAAGTGAATCACAAGTTTTGCACAAAAAATTCTTGGACTTTCAAACTGATTTGAACTTTTAAAATATCGATTCTTTCTATATTTTAGATATCCTTTTGTGTTACTATGATTTTAATCTATACAGTTACAAGCTGGTGTTTTTCATGGCACGAAACAAAACCAGAAATATCACCGATATGCTGGTTCGTAATTTTTTTATAAAACCCAGGCTGAAGCACACCGGGCAGGCCCGCACGATCATGTATTTTTGCACCGGACTTGAATTACTCAGGTCATTAGCTGTATAAATGGCTGTTGCTTTACACCTGCCTTTTGCGGTCACTAGCATAAATCACCATAAATTTT